GGTAAGGATCCTGCAGTATTGTTTTCAACAGTGATAGAGACTGTAGGATGCCCAAGTGAACCATCTGCCAATACATCAGTCGGAAGAACAGAAATACTATTGTCTCCGGTAGTGGGAGGGAGATGTGGCATTGTGTCAACCAGTGTTTCAATAGTCTGTGGAATACACTCGGGAGCGGAAGAGGGACAGGCACGAAGTGGGGCAAATCCAGTAGCATTTTTACTTGGAGGTTTTAGATTCAGATGCCAATGGTAACATTGATAAAGAGAGTGTCCAAACATATGGCAGTGGGTGCAATAAAGAGGTATCTGTTCAAGTTTTGCTTGCTGCCAAAATCCCTGATGTTATGTGTCAATTCATATCTCTCCCGGAAAAGGTAAAGTAATATCCCGTTCTATCAAAATTCTAACTTCAGAAGGCCGGTTAGATTCAATGTAGGCGTATCAATTTTGAGAGGTTTACCGTATACCATCGCTAAAACGAAGATGAGCTCTTGATCGTAAAGGTGGACCTTCAAACCTGGGAAGCACAACCAAACAGGAATGGTATGAGGTTCAGTACGAGGGTTAAAATCCACAGTCCATTTTAAAACCTTCATCACCTGGTTGTCTATTTGAATGAGTCTTCTTGCAAACAAATGGGCGTAGTCTTCATCATTTGATAATTGGATGAGAATGTGCCGACCATCCAATTTACCAAACTTCCAACCCCCTTTCAGCTTCATTTGCTCAAAATCCTTTCGAATTAACTCAAGTTTAGGGTTTTCATAAAGAAACTTACCTACTAAGAACAGTCGGTAGGGCGCAGCTAGGGTTGAGATCTCGACTTCTGTGAGAAAGATTGCAGGTTTGCCGTTTTTACGGGATGTTTTTTTGAGAAACCCGGTTTCAACCCCAAGAGCAAAAGTATCGTGGTAACGTTGCGGAAATATATTCGAAAGAGGGGCGGGAGCGGGGCTATCACTAGCGAGGGCGAGGGCGAGGGCGAGGGTGGCGGCGTAAGAAAAAACCTTTGAGGCCATCACCTTGCCCGGTGCTTCACTGCGTGAGAAAAAACCAAGGAGGAAACGACGCTTTGTCGCTGAGCAGGCAGAGGGCGCGACGCCGTCTGCGACCGAGGACGAAGGCACTCGATGCAAACGACGAGAAGCAGCGACGGCGTGCGACGACGCAGACCGAAGCTACTGCAACCCGAGGCGTTGTCGTATCTGGCGAGAGAAGACGACCGAGGACGAAGAAGGCTCAGTTAGCAGCGAACGAGATTGTATGCGAAGCCGACGAGACAGTAGCCAGTGAAAGCCGGAGGTTAACGCTGGGTTTCGTCATCGGGCAAAACCCTAACAGAGCTCGCCGCCATCGGCACTATATATTCTTTTTTGAGAAAGCCCAAAGGCTAATATATGAAAAGGGAATAAGGATACATAAAGATTGTGTGGAAGGCCCAAGCATGGCACCCGTCCCCCACGATAACCATCACATACAACAGGTTCCAAAAAAAGAGAAAATATAGAAAAATATAATATACCTAAATAAAAAAATAAAAAATGCCAAAAAAACGTAGTATCAGGTAGCTAGAGAGCGACCCAATTTTCCTTTGCCTCTACCTCTAGTTCTAAGAAAGGAGCCAGATAATAAATTGGTAAGATGAGTGTCATTGCCAGTAGTGACCAAAGCATCATCCAATAAGTTTCCAAGCTCGAGTCGGCCTCCAGTCTTCTTCTTCCTCCTGGAATAGACCTATCATTCTTCATCCGAAGATTGACTCGCCCGATCAGTGAATTGGTCTAAAGTGTGTCGAACATGTGTAGAATGTTGAACATTAGAAGTAACCGCTTGTTGTACCAGCTGATCTTTGATTGAATCAAAGAAGCACTCTTGTGTGTCTTGGCATGTAAGTGAGTCTTCTTCAATAACACTGAGTGGTATAAGCACTTTTGGATCTGTACCTGTAGTATGATGTTCATCAGGAACTGCGATGTTGGGTAAAGGATTGGTTTGCACCTTCTCAACAGGGATGGTAGGTGGCTGCTCTTTAGCGATATCCAAAATCTGTTCTGTGATAGCTTTCTCTCCAGATGGAACAGATATGTCCAGAGTAGTAGGATTAGATCCATCCTTATTCCTTATTTACTTGATCTTTAGATTAGGATGAAACTTATGACATTTATCAAGTGTATGCCCAAACATCTTACAATGAGAACAGTAAATGAGAACAGTAAG